GTGCGTCCAGCCCGCCGTGGGGTCAGGGAGCCGAGCCAGCTGCCCGGGCCCGGGGCTGGCGCCTGATGCCCTGTGGCCCAGCACCTCCCACCTAAGGGATAGCCCGGCACAGAATGCCCCTCCACCGTCCACTCCTGCCAACCTAGCAGCTGACGCCGCCTGAGCCGTCCTTCGCCACCAGAGCCTCGGCCTCCAGGCTCTCTGACTCACTCCTAGGCTCTGCATGAGGCCTTTGAAGGCAGACACAGCCCTGGTCAGCAAGGAGGCAGGAGGCGCAGCTTCAGTTCTTACTTTGTAATCCATAATGCTTTTTTTCTTTTGGCATTTTCGGCATTTGAACCCAGGACCTGGAGTTGGGTGGACAGGCATGCGAGTGCTTGGTGCCCCCTCTCGTCCTTTCTGCTGTAGTTATTTTTCAGATGGAGTCTCATGCTTTTTGCCCAGGACCAGCCTTGGACCTAGATTCTCCTCCAGGTGCCTCCCACATGCCGCCATGCCAGGCTTATTGGTTAAGAAGGAGGTCTCAGGCTGGGAAGGTGGCTTAGTGGTAGAGTGCTTGCCTTGCATGCAGGAAGCCCTAGGTTCAATTCCTCAGTGCCACATACACAGAAAAAGCCAGAAGTGGTGCTGTGACACAAGTGGTAGAGTGCTATCCTTGAGCAAGAAGCTTGGAAACAGTACCCAGGCCCTGAGTTCGAGCCCTGAGATTGGCAAAAAGAAAAAGGCAAAAAAAGATGAAGGTCTCACTAACTTTTTCCCTTGGCTGGAACTGCGATCCTCCTGATCTCTGCCTGAGTGGCTCGGATCCCAGGCTCCTCTGCCTGCTGGCTCTCTTGCACTGCAGTGGGACGGGCTTGCGTCTGACAGGTGGGGCTTTTGGAACCTTCAGGCTAACGACTTGGAATTGCTCATAGTATTTCCTTCTGGCCCAGTGTAACAGACCTTGTCGTGTGTCATCTTGTTCTCAAGGCTGGTGCTCCAGGCCACGCCCCAAGCCCGTGTCATCCTTTGCTTTGTGGGCATTCGTTCCTTGCAGGTTGTCTACTGTGTGCAGAGTAGCTTGGGAACCCTTAGTCCTGTCTGGCGTATTTCCTCATCCACCCCTCTGGGGCTACCTCAGCGCGCCTGGCTTGGTTCGCTGTTTTCAGGTTTCTTGGGTTTTTCAGCCTAGTAGTTGCATATAAAGCTATGATTTTTCCTCTTTGCACCTCATTAGCTGCACTCCGCAAGTTTGAATGTATTGTTAATTTTTAGGCTCAGCAAAATAAGGGATTTTTCATGGTCTCTATTTTGAATCATAAATCACTTACAAGTCTGTCGATGAGTTCCGACAGTGACTTTTCCAATGGTCAGGCTTTCCTCACAGCCTACCGGATTTCCAGTCCTGGAGGTAACAGAGGCTCCCTTTGGGGAGTAGATATCACGGCTGTTGCTAAGCGTGTATGTACTTAGAGAAAGCGCCCTGTACGCTGTTAGCTCACAGCTAGCGTGTTGCTGTTTATTCCTGGGCTTATCCTGTGAGGGTGTGGGAAACCCCCTGCCATGCTGGCGGCGCACTGTGCGTGAGAGCATGTGCGTGTACGCGCGCTTTGCTCACCTACCTTCTCGCACCGGCCTCCTGTGTAGCGGGCCCAGCCAGGCCTGTGTCTCTGTAGACCAGAGGTGGCCACACTGGTGTTCTTTTGTATCTTGTTCAAAAAACACAAACCAGGCAAGTACTTCACACCTGTAATCCTCGCGATGCATATGGAAGAGACAGGAGGATCATGGTTTGAGGCTAGCCAGGGGGCAGGAGAGAGTTGATGAGACCCCCATTTTGACCAATAAAAAATTTGGGGCCCAGTGTCACATGCTTATCACCCCAGCAATGTGGAAAGAGTGAACAGGAAGGTAACGGTCCAGGCAGCCTGGCAGAAATGTGTGAAACCCTGTTTTAAAAGAAGGAACTCAGAAGCAGCAGGAGGTGTGGCTCAAGGGCTCTAGCGCCTGTCTGGCACGCACGCTTGCCTGGGTCCACTGCCAGATAAAACCAAAACCACCAAGCCGGCGAGCACCGACCTGACACCGTTGCTCGCTGCCCCCTGCTGGAGACCAGGGCCCGTCGCCCTGCCTGCGCCTGAAGGGCCCCCCTCCCTCCCTCCACCCCCCCCCTTGCAGTTGCCTCTGCTCCTCCCCTCCAGAGCTGCTTCTCCCGCCCTCACGCCTGTCTCTTTCTCTTCCAGTACGTCCAGCACAGCCCTGGCAGCTCCAAGCGCGGGTTTGGCATCGACTGCGCCATCCTCTCCTGCCAGGTCTACGTCTCGCAGATCCTGGTGGCCTCCGCCCTGGGGGGCGTGGTGGACGCCGTGCGGACGGTCCGTGTTATCCCCATGGTGGCCTCCGTGGGCTCCTTCCTGGGCTTCCTCACAGCCACGTTCCTGGTGATCTATCCCAAAGTGTCGGAGGACGCCAAGGACGAGGAGAAAGGCCTGTCCTCCCGGGCCGCCGGCGAGGGCGGCCGCGGGGCCGGCGAGAAGCCCACTGTCCTGAAGCTGTCGAGGAAAGACGGCCTGCCCGGGCCCGCGGAGGCCGAGTCCGTGGTGTGAGGCCGGCGGTGCTCTCCACGCGGGCGCGGGCGTGGGGGGGCAGCTTCTCCCGGCGCAGGCCAGGCTCCATAGGTGTAGGGTAGGTTTGAGCTGTTAGGCAAAGTATCACATTCATTACTTTCTCCACAATTAAAAAATCATTTGAAATCTTTTTTTAATTGAAAAATCTTTTAATTTCAACTCCTATTCTGCAGGTGTATTATTCTGCATGTTTTTAAATTGTAAGACGCTTACAATATACTCAGTAAGCAATTTAGAAAAAATAAGCCTTTGAATTTCTGAAATTGTCATTGAAAATGCAAACCCTCCGCCGTCCTTGGTGGCCTGTCCCCTGGGCGCCAGCGACGTTGGTGGCCTGTCCCCTGGGCGCCGGCGGCGTTGGTGGCCTGTCCCCTGGGCGCCGGCGGCGGCCTCGGCAGCGTGGTCACAGGGGTCTTGGCACCTCTTGGCACGCACAGTCGTGCTGCCGCTTTTGGAGAGTTTTTCTCTCTGATTATTTGGGAAGTGTTTTCTTTTTCATAACTGTTTAATTACAAGAACAGCGTCTCGTCTCTTCCTCGGAGGGTGTGGCGGCCTGTGGCGGCCACACCAAAGCCGGCGAGTTCCCCGTGGCCGCTGTGGGCAGCGAGTGACCATTTGCTAGGGTGACCTCCAGACAAGCCAGGGAGGGGCAGGGCAGCAAGCACGGACAGAATGTGCGTGGTATGTGTGCGTGTGGGTGTGTGCGCGCATGTGCGTGCCTGTGAGTCTGTCCCACCTCCCCCCCCCCCCAAGGCCCCGGGGGAGCCGTTTGGTCACCGCCGACTCTCAGTTGCACTTTGATTTATCTCTACACCATTTGCTGGGAATCCAGAGCCCAGAGCTCCAGGCAGGCGCTGGCTCCCGAGTCCTGCCTCCAGGCTACCTCGAATGTGTGGTGGGCAAGGCCTCTGAGTGGGTGCCCGAGGGTGCCAGGGCCTCCCTCTCTGCCACACTGGGGCCCATCCGAACTGGACCCCATCTGAACTCTTGTGACTTCCTCCCGGGCTCCCGGGCTGGCTGCTGGAGCGCACGTGCACCTGAGAGCCGCTTCTGTCTGGGTTGCGGCCCAGCCAGGGCCTGGCGCCGTGCGTTTTCTGGCTTCAGCCAATGAGCGAACCTCAGGCTCCAGGAAGCGCAACCATCACAAGCTGCCGCTGTCTGGAACGTGTTCAAGGCACCACATCCTACCCAACGCTTGAGCCCGCTCTTCCCGGAGACCGGATCCAGAGACCGGCCGTCCACGCCTGCCGGCCCGCCGAGGGGAAGAACGCGGGAGGCGGCCGCTGCCCTGGTGAACACGGCGGCTGCCTCCATGTGGTGTTTTTTAAATAAAGAACTTTACAATGCATGAGAATCATGCTGCAATATGGTCATTCTAAAGCATATATATATATATATATATATATACACATATATATACACATATATTTCAAGCTGAAACGCAGTTTTTTAAATAAATTACTTGAATTTTCTGTGTAAGCAGAAGAATGGCTGTTTTTGTCCTTGGCAGCTCTCTGGTCTGGTCTTGTCATGGCTCCTGCCGCTGGTGGCAGTGGGTAGGTTGTGTTTGGAGTGCGAGGAGCGCGGCGTGTGCCCCGCGCGGGCAGTTTCTCAGCCTGCGCTCCGCAAGCCCAGCCCGCTCCCACCCCGCCGGCCTCTGGCTGAAGACGCTTGTGCCGGGAACTGAGGAAGGCAGTGGCCGGGCTGCCACCTGCCGCACGCAGCCCAGAGGCCACGACCCAGACTGACCCTGACGAACGGCGCGCAGGCCTCACACCTGGAAACCAAGCTGACCAGGAGTGGGCTCACAGCGGCCGGGGGCGGGGGGGGGCGTCATGAAGCAGTGACTTACCTCTACTGCCTGCCTGCCCGGCGAGGGCCTGGGCAGTGTGCCCACCACCTGCAGGCCCGTGCCCCTCCCGCGATGGGATTCTAATATGGCGCCGGATGGCCTGTGAGCGGCTGAGGTGAGGGCCGGCCACGGGCTGGCCTGTTCAGTGGCGCGGGCACTGGTTTCTGACTGGGGGGGGGGGG